AGCTCCTTGTAGTGCGTGCAATCGTCGCACGTTCCGTGCGTTGACGGTGGCAAAAACTTCAACAGGGTTCGCCATTGTTCGTTGTACGTCCGCCAAAATTGCTGGTATCTCAGTGACCGTGAAACCACAAATACTGTTACAGCAAACCCCATCAAAGTATGCAGTATACCCATGATACTTTCTGACCCTTACCAAGCAGTAGTCACCTGTTTTCAATTTTTTCAAGTTGTTGAATCAGATCACATCAAAATTTCCATTGTTCCAGCCCAATCGCGAGATATCCTTCCGGCCCCACTGATGAAAAAGCATACGGAGATTCCCTGGGGGGAGCCACCGCTGCGGCAGCGAACTCATCGTCTTCATGAAATTGCATTCCACTGCCCTGGGCGAGCTGAGCCAGTAAAGAAAGTCACACATACACCTTCTTTAAAATATTCTTGGGGTGTGCAAACTCAAATAAATATTTTACACATAGACTTGGTGGTTGCAACTGAACTTGGTGACAACTAAGTTTATGGCTGGGTAAAGAAAGAATTGTGCCCAAGGATATGCATCCGCAATTCTTCATCCTTTTCGAGAGATTCTGCAGGGACAGTTAGCTCCTCCATCTCGTTTCCGGAACCCCCACTGCCTCTGCGGTTTTTCAATTTTTCTACAATGTATACTTCCCCTTAGCCAACTAAAAATAAATAAAAAAGCATTGTGGGTTCTGGAAGGCAAACCAAAGATATTCCAAGATGCCTTCATCATCAGAATCCAAGCTAATGGATTGCTCCAGCACAACAGTCAGTTTGTCCGGTTGCGGTTTTCGGGGGCGACCAGATCTGCAAAACCTGGATCAAGCAAGGGATCATTAGTTTGGTCTTGGTTAATAATGTTGAGAAATGACTGTTGAATCTTTGTACTTGGAACTCATGTTACAGGGTTCCAATGTGGAGCAGCCACAGCAAAACATGAATCGTTGTTGGGACCAAGCCAAAGGACTTATCAGGTAGCATTCCTGCACTCTTCATGTAAACGGTTAGGAGGAACTGATTGATCAGCCGTGTCTTCACAGGTGACTTCTTCTTTACCTGGGACAGTTTTCATGTCTGAAACAAAAATGTCTTATTGATACCCAAGCTCGATTGGAAAACCAAGAAATAAAATTATATGCAAAGTAATTACGCAATTTCCCTGGCAAGATGCCCCTCCCCAAACTGCAAATCTACGATCCAGTCTACCTTGTCCGACTCTGGCCAGTCTGGCATTTCCAACCCCCAGGATGGCTAGGATACACTTTGGCCCCATGCGCTTGCCAAGCAGGAACCATGTTTTCCGTGACTTTCCCTCCGCATTGACATTGACAGTCACCCTCAAAAACTCATCCTGGACGTGTTTCGCCATGCCCCAAAAGAGCCGCAGGAATTGTAACAAATTGGCCCTTGCATGAACCAGTTTCTCATAGCATGTTTTTCGTGGACACCTGCACGCCCGACTAGTCAAACGATCCAATCTCGACTGATCAGCACCATGCTGGCCAAACCTTAGCTTCCCGCAATGGGTAGCAAGCAGCAGAGTACCTCCTGGTCAGGTCTATAGTTGGGGGTGGAAACTTATCGCACTAAAAAGCAAAGTGTTTCCTCAAGCTAAATCTAGAAACCGTACCCGTTCTGATATCTTGGCATGAAATCTTCTCTTCGTGCTGTTGTAGCTGGGGCGTTTTCTAGCTTGGGGCCTAGATTCTTTCGCTGGTTTTCCCATTACAATTCCCTGGGCTGTGCCACAAAACGCAACAAGCCCTTCAAGTGTGAATCTCACCCCTGGCACTGCCTCTGATGGAGGCGAGTCTGGTTCAGAATCCTGCCGCCTCCCTGGTATCTCCGCATCGTGATCCAACAGCTTGATATACTTCCGTCTTGTAGTGTCTCCTCCACTTGGCTTTGAGCTAGATAAGCAGGTTGACACAGGCGCATTCAAAGAAGCAGCAACTGAAGTTCCACGAGCCACAGGCTGGCTGGATGTGCTATCTGGTTTTGACTCAGGCTTTGAAGGAGCTAAGGATCTAAGAAACCGCCGCCGTGCTTCCGACATAGCAATGCCAAGCTAATCTCTCTCCGTTTGTGTCGGCTCTAGCGTTTCTACTCCTGAAGTTTGAACTTGTTGGATTGACGCTGCTTGGCAACATTTTTTCTAATCAACCAGGCTGTTATGTCCCAGTCATGTTGAGAAAAAATGGTGAAGACAGTTGACAAGTGATGCCGGATAGGGCCCTTGTACCTTGAAAATAGCAAGCACAGCATATCACAATTCTCACCCTAGTTCTCTTTGAGATGGGCGACGGCTGCTGTGAGAGCTTGTGTGAAAAATGATGCTTGCAAAGGAAAGCACATCACACATCAAGAAAACGCACTGGAAAAATCAAACTACTGGAGAGACTGGGAACCCACACGGAACCCAAAACAACCTGAATCGATGCTTGCAAAGGGAAACACATCACACATCAAGAAAACGCACTGGAAAAATCAAACTACTGGAGAGACTGGAACCCACACGGAACCCAAAACAACCTGAATCGATGCTTGCAAAGGGAACCACATCACACATCAAGAAAACGCACTGGAAAAATCAAACTACAGGAGAGACTGGAACCCACACGGAACCCAAAACAACCTGAATCGATGCTTGCAAAGGGAAGCACATCACACATCAAGAAAACGCACTGGAAAAATCAAACTACAGGAGAGACTGGAACCCACACGGAACCCAAAACAACCTGAATCGATGCTTGCAAAGGGAAGCACATCACACATCAAGAAAACGCACTGGAAAAATCAAACTACAGGAGAGACTGGAACCCACACGGAACCCAAAACAACCTGAATCGATGCTTGCAAAGGGAACCACATCACACATCAAGTAAACGCACCGGAAAAATCAAACTACTGGAGAGACTGGAACCCACACAGAACCCAAAACAACCTGAATCAATGCTTGCAAAGGGAAACACATCACACATCAAGAAAACGCACTGGAAAAAATCAAACTACAGGAGAGACTGGAACCCACACGGAACCCAAAACAACCTGAATTGATGCTTGCAAAGGGAAACGCATCACACATCAAGAGAACGCACTGGAAAAATCAAACTACTGGAGAGACTGGAACCCCCACACGGAACCCAAAACAACCTGAATCAATGCTTGCAAAGGGAAACACATCACACATCAAGAAAACGCACTGGAAAAATCAAACTACAGGAGAGACTGGAACCCACACGGAACCCAAAACAACCTGAATCGATGCTTGCAAAGGGAAACACATCACACATCAAGAAAACGCACTGGAAAAATCAAACTGCAGGAGAGACTGGAACCCACACAGAACCAAAAACAACCTGAATCGATGCTTGCAAAGGGAAACACGTCACACATCAAGAAAACGCACTGGAAAAATCAAGCTACTGCAAAGGGAAACACATCACACATCAAGAAAACACACTGGAAAAATCAAACCACTGGAGAGACTGGAACCCACACGGAACCCAACACAACCTGAATCGATGCTTGCAAAGGGAAACACGTCACACATCAAGAAAACGCACTGGAAAAATCAAACTACAGGAGAGACTGGAACCCACACGGAACCCAAAACAACCTGAATCGATGCTTGCAAAGGGAAACACATCACACACAAGAAAACGCACTGGAAAAATCAAACTACTGGAGAGACTGGAACCCACACAGAACCCAAAACAACCTGAATCGATGCTTGCAAAGGGAAACACATCACACATCAAGAAAACGCACTGGAAAAATCAAACCACAGGAGAGACTGGAACCCACACGGAACCCAAAACAACCTGAATCGATGCTTGCAAAGGGAAACACATCACACATCAAGAAAACGCACTGGAAAAATCAAACTACAGGAGAGACTGGAGCCCACACGGAACCCAAAACAACCTGAATCGATGCTTGCAAAGGGAAACGCATCACACATCAAGAAAACGCACTGCAAAAATCAAACAACTTTACTACAACAACAACAACAAGAACAACAACAACAAGAACAAGAACAAGAACAAGAACAACAACAACAACAACAACACCAGCAGCAGCAGCAGCAGCAACAGCAACAGCAAAAGCAAAAGCAACAGCAACAGCAACAACAACGACAACCACAACAACAACAACAACAACAACATACCAACTTACCAACTTACCAACTTACCAACATACCAACATACCGACATACCAACATACCAACTTTACAACCCAAACCTCTGTTTGGGTGTTTATTAAACGCCCGGGGGTTTTTGGGATCAAGAAACACCCCTGGGTGTTACAAGACAATCTCGCTTTGCAAAAGAATATATATATTTTTTTTTCCGTCTAAGGATGGCTCGCTAAATTAAAATAAACAGCGTGGACGCAAGCATCTCGACGCCCTTTATTTTAGAAGGTTAGGGTTCAATAGCTATGTTAAATGTTCCAATTTGTAATTTTGCACAAAATGGTCGCCAAAAACCATTCTGTAACGGCCTCGAGGCCTCAGATTTAATAAAAAATTCAACGGGGACCCCCTTCCAATTCACAATCTAGGAGCCAGGCCACAAAGAAACCTCGCTTCCTGCTATGACCACAACCTCCAATTGGATGACAATAATGCTGATGTAAAATGGCTGTCAAGGTGATTGACAATTGAAAATCGAATTGCTGCATAGGTCTGACAGTGGCCTTGCAGCAGCGTGCTAGTCCGATCAGTGACCGCTTGTCGGATCAAACCAGAAAAGGCAGCCGGCCGAGCGATCAATTCAGGAATCTTTTTGAAGCTTTCAACTTGAGTTTGGACAGATTATCTCATATTCATGAGACCTGATTGCAAAGAGATGGCACCTGAATACAACGAAAAGCCCTTATATAGAGAGAGAGAGAAAGAGAGAGAGATATCTATTTGTTTATATTTATATATATAAATACACATGGGATAATGGGTGTGGCAACACTTGCAGCCTTCGCAGGTCGATTGGCGAGACACGCCCCCCAGTCATCGTGCAACGGCGCTGCTGTATGCGGCTGCTGCGGGACATGCCGTGGGGGCCTAGGAGTTGAGGTCCATCTCTGTCCCTACGACCTGTTGGACACCATGGAGATGTGAAAAAAGGTCCCAAAAGTTCAGGTTTCATAGTTTAATAGTCCCAAAACCTATGGTCCCTAATTTTTTCAGGTTTCATAGTTTAATCATCATAGAAAATATCAGGGTTCATAGTGGAAAATCATCACGATTCCTATTAAAACAGCAATTTCAACTGATATTTTCTCTCCATCCCCATTTTCAGACCCAGGTTGAGATTTGCTACTGATGACAAGCTGAGGATATCTCCATGGCTCTGCTCAAGGCTCAGGCCGGAAAATATATACGAATATGAATATATATATATATACATCCGTAGAGATATATATATATATATGAGGGTATGTAACCATAGATACACTTTGATAATCAAACATGGCAATGGAAGATCCACAATTGATAGAGGATGTTCCCATTGAAACCTCCATTTATATTGCCAACTTTGATTCCCGGCGGGAAAAAAGGGGCTCATTATTCCCAACTTCTGTAGCGCAGCTTGTGGCGCCCCGACTAGGCCTGCCCAGCTTTGGTGGATGCCAAGCAAAGATCCGCAGCCGACTTGGCGCTGGAGGCTGGAGCATCTCGACTGGCACAACAGCTGGAGAGTTATGCCCAGATGTGGAAAAGTGCGCTTCTCAGAGCTAGAATGACACCATAATTATGAAACCTGGCATCTCTCGCCTTCCTTTTTTTCCAGTTTTTTAGATGAATTGAGTTTGCAAGATATTGCAAGCTGGAATGTGCACATAAAAATGCTGGAGAATCTGCAGCACATACCCTCTGGTAAACATACAAGAAGCTATTGAAAATGGCCCAGTCGAAATAGTGAGTTTTCCCATTAATAGCATGGTGGATCTTTCCATAGTCATGTGACAGTTGACCAGGCCGGGTAAATCCCATTAAACCACCATTTTGTTGGTTAAACCCCATTAAACCACCATTAAACCACCATTTTCCTATATGTGTAAACCTTCCAGACTTCCAGAAGTGCACCCAGGCCAAAACCAGGGCATCAGTCCCGAGCCACGGTCCTGGCAGAAGCCATCTGACTGGAAGGAGGCGGTCAGATCATCCGGGGCCGGCGGGACGGTATGATGAATCTAATGATGATCCCATGGGAACAAAAGCAGCAGATAGACATATGGATTCATATGGATTCATATGGATTCATATGGATTCATATGGATACATGAAATGAAAATATGATATGTGTCTTGAATTGTATACATTTGAGTTTTTGCAACCTACAAATTTGCTGGCACATGTAGCGAGAGAGAGAGAGAGAGAGCAAGCCCCAAAAAGATGGAAAGGTGTTTCAAGGATGTTGTAGACAATATTTTCCTATTATTTTCAGGTTTCCCACTTTACTGTCTATTTTGGGGTTGCTATATTACGTGTATATATATATATTATGACTGTGTGTGCCACACCGTTGAGTCCTTCATGGCAGGCAGAGCCAGAGGTGGATAAAGATCCCAAGCGAGCGCCTCAGCGATTCAGCGCAGACCTGGTGCCTTTAGGATCTGCGCAGGTCCTGCGAGGTTTGGCCTTGTTTTTCACAACGTTGATGGTGGCCATGATGTGTTTACATAACCTATCAATCTATCAATCCATCTATCCATTTGTCTACATATACTGTAGAGAGCGAGAAAGATCTGTATCTATGTGTCTGCATGTATGTGTGGGTCATGTATTTTCAATCTATAAAAAGAGAGAGAGAGAGACATTAAAGAGATAATCACGTGCGGTGTGTCATGAAGACAATAACTTGCTTACTGACTATCACCCGCAAAAAGATAGAAAAGAAAAAAAACCACTGAAATAGCGAAGAACTCTTTGATTATCATTATTTTTTGGATGGTATTCATATTTTGGGTGCTTACTATTTTTGTTGGTCATTATTTATCATTATCTATTATACTATATTATACTATTATCTATTATCTATTATCTAATTATTATCAAGTATCTATTTTCAGTATCATTATAATTATCATTATATATATTTGTCATTATCATTATCATTACTGCTATATTTATTTAGTATAATTATTATTGCTGGCTGCTTACTATCAAAAACAGTGATGACACTAGATAATGATAGGAATATTCTTGCTGCTTACTGTCATTAAGGATTAGTTTATCATCATTATCACTACGACAAGTGATTGTCTACTATAATGACAAATAATTATAGTGGCCTAGATAACGCGACAAGTGTGATTATAGATATAATGATAATTATTACTAACAATGATTATAGATATTTCATAATCACTTTTTACTAACAATGATTATCACCTCTTGATTTAGCTCACACTTGTCGTGCGCCAGCAAGGCCCGGCGTTGGTCTTCGTGCGGTGGCGCGAGGCGCGCAAGTGATGCAGGTGCGATAGCTGGGAACATCGAAGTCATGGGGAATGCGAAGTGGATGCCATGGCCAACGATGAATTGATCTATGCAACATGATGATTTAAGCCATAGCTGTGTGATATTGGCAGAGGGCAATGATATGTTTATATGACTTAATATTTGAATATGTGGCCGTAAATGTGAATGTTTACTAACCAGCTGAACATTGAATTAGATTGTTCCCATATACTGTAGGATAAAATTAGTTAATACTTTTGAGGTAGGTGGGTTCGTTTGTAATTGTTTGGGAAAATACGCAAAGTTGATGATTGATCATCATCTCAGATTTTTGGGGTGTACCCCATTGTCAGGCAAACGCAAATGAGGAATATTGACATTTATGATAGTTTGAAAGTTAGAATGTTATACTTGGATAATTCCTTAATAATTAATAGATGGGCCACATTGACTAACCAGGTGAACATTGAATTAGTTGTTATATTTTTTCTGGCAGTATATCCAAGATTGACCATGGGCAGTTTATCCGTCGTGGAGAAGATTTGAGATCAACAAAGGAATACCTGGTAATGACTAACGTAGCTATTGAAAATGACCATAGAAATAGTGGATTTTCCCATTAAAAATGGTGGTTTTCAATAGCTATGTTAAATTACCAGAGGGTAAGTGGTATGCCAAACCGACCCATCCCATTTAAGTTCTTCCCAGAAAAAGGTGTTTCAGTATCCATCTCGGCATGTTGTTTTGTTGCCCACAGGAGCGGGTGCCCAAAGGGAAGAAGAAGCTCCTGGTGGATGCGCGGGGCTCAGCTTTGCGATGACACTGCTGATGGAGGTATCTTGCTCCGGAAACCACTTGGGAAGTGGTTGGTAAATGTTCTTAAGCCATGCATATGTGTATTTATATATATATACATGTGTGTGTGTGCGTGTTTGCGTGTGTGTGCACATAGAGATAGATAGATAATGAATGATAATGATAGATATACTGATATACACTCACATATCTTGGCTTAATTCATGTTAATTCCACAAGAAATAACAAGAATAATATAGTTTTTGGGGGAAACTAAGCGTGGCTCTTCAACGCATACCAATTGAATCCTGCAAATCCAAGTATGGGAGTATGTGGCAAATTGTCAGCAGTGAATGTTGAGTCTTGTTGGAAAGCTGAAGGCAAAAATCATCAAGATCATCCCTCGCATCACCTTCCCACCATATTTGATGGGTTCAACACCCCGTTTTGCTTCAAAATCAGCTGGTACCCTATCAGTTGGTACATGTTGGTACCATTTGATATAGGGCCTATCCATTCATATCCCTTTTTTAGTCGGTCAAACCGTCATACCCACATGTCCGTTCCAGGTGGTATTTTTAGCTCCTATTTGAGTTGCTGAAAATATGTTGTTGTGGTTGGTTACCTTCTGGTAAACTAACATAACTATGGAAAATCACATTTTTTTATGGAAAAATCCACTATAAAACACCATTTTCAATAGCTTTTTGTATGTTTACCAGAGGGTAAACCCCCAGATGTCAACCGTCGAGGTCGTAAGAGCCATCAATCTGGTCACCAGCATCTTCAGCTTCACCGTGGATCCCGTCGTCAAGGCTCAGCAGATCTCAGCAGCGAAATCACCCCGATGATGGATGATTTCGCCGAAAATTGCAAGTCTTGGTGGTTTAGTGATGTTTCCCTATGTTTCATTTATTATAAATATTTTATATAATCTCTAAAAGCATTTAAGAACTATATATGTATATATTTGTATATACATAAATTATATAATGTATATATATATATATAATATATATGTTATGTGTGTGTGTTCCAGTACTACTTGAGTTACATAAATTATATGATGTATATATGTGTGTGTGTGTGTTCCAGTACTACTTGAGTTACTTGGGATGATTGTGTGAATGAAAAAAATGATGAAGTCGGGGATAGGTTGAAATCACGGTCCCCAGCATTCCATTGGGCCCTCAGCGGTCGAGTCAGCCTGTTGGCCACCGCGCTGCGGACCTGGTCCAGGTCCGTATTGGCCAAGAAGTTCAAGAGACCAAAACTGCCGGAAGCTCAAAGTCTATCAGATATACTCACTGTATATATACATATATATATATATACATATATATACATACATACATACATACATACATATGTACATTTATATATATATATACATATGTATTACCATTGTTTATTATCAATCATATCAAATCACATCACATCAAATCAAATTATTGCAGGATATTGTCTGATGATAAAATCAAACATATTCCTTGAATGCGGGTAGCAGCACAAAGCAGAGGCTTTCGGGTGAAAATGGTTCAACGTTTTTTGTTTTTTTGTTCGGTCTTTTTCATCAGTTTTCGGTCAATGTCGGAGGCTTCAGGACAAAATCCTGAATGGAACGAGCAGTTCGAGTTCTACGTGCAAGGGACAGAGGCCTTCCGAAACGACGTGCCAAGAGTTGTCGTAGTGAATGTCTTATCATTTCAAAATAGTTTGTGCCCATCTAGTGCTGAAAAAAACTAGACGATACTTTACTCTCCCTTCGCTGCAGGTGATCATCTTCTCCGTATGGGACATGGACGCTAGCGGGGTTGAGGACCAAGCGCAGCTGTGAAGCGACTATGACTAGGTGTTTGCATCTTTTTTGCATCGCAGGATCCCGACTTCATCGCCCGGGCGGAACTTCCATTGAAATACCACGTGGCGCTGGCATGTGCCATCAAAATCCCACTCACTGTGAGTCCATGGAAATCAATGCAGATCCCGGCCAGGTGAGAGAGTTGTACAGGGGGCAAAAGCTGGACTTGGAACTCGAGCTTGCAAATCAGGCCGTGACATCCAATGACACATGTCTCATCAGGATGTTACCCCGGAATAAATCCCAAGTTTTTTTCAGGGCCCAACGGCCCAACATCGTGACAATCCTTAAATGGAACTCCCCCTGGTAGTAATCAGTCACGAGGGTCTGGCGTTGTCTCTCAGTGACTTCAAGTGGGCAAAGTGTGGTGGCAGTGGCGATGTTGGTATGCTACCGCTGCTACAAATCATCTTGGTTAAGTACTTCTCTTTGTGGAAAGTGGCTATAGTATGCTATAGTTTGTTTATGTTTGTTTACTTGCAACGACGCCTGACCGCAGATTGATGACAATTCTGCATCAATCCAAGTTTCTTTGCAGCTCGCAGACTCTATGTGTGTGCCTCAGTGGATGGTGAGCACCTCCGATGTTCGCAAAGGACCCCTTCTGCGCTGAACACTTAGGAGGTCTGTGCGACCGTCTTGCTGCCTTTGGTTATGGACGTTCTATGGGCTCACTGTAGACTCATGGCACATTTTGAGGGTGATAAGATGTGACAAGATTGACAAAGAGATATTTGCTATCCAAACAGGAGCAATGTGAATGATACGAAAGCCCCTACGAAGCTACAAATGTTGCCTCCCTCAGGTGAAAATTAGGAAACCTGAATCACAAGTGCTGTGGCCCACAAATGTAGCAAATCTCGCAATAATTTATCCCATTGAATCACCATGTAAAATCCCACTAAATCACCATCAAATCACCATCAAATCACCATCAAACCAGCGACCACTGCTGCATTTTTTTGAAAATCTGACGAATGTCAATTAATTTGTATTAAAAATCATTTATATATATATATATTACTTATATGTGTTATATTATATCTGTTTATATATTTTTTTGGGTTTCCATGTGTATATATATATATATACAGTGTCTATAGCTATATATTTTAATACCAATATCAATGAATATCTATATGAACATTGTTTACGGATGTTTGGTTTGCTGCCAGACTTTGCCTTTTTATTTTGATGTAGACCCCTCCTTGTTTAAGGGTGAGGGGTCGGCAGGGCAAGGCGAGGGGTTAATAACACGAAGAGAAATTAATAATGCAGGACGAGGGATTAATAAATTATGGATCAAATCAAAATCAATATATATATATAATTTATATTAATATTATTAAATTTGGGTTTATT